TGAAAGTATTTGGGTAACTTAGGCGCAGAGGCTAAGTACCTCATACTTTGTGATGCGATGACGATTATGAGAGATTCAAAGATAACAAGGCATGCTTCAAAGTCGTATCAAGAATTTCATGACAAATGGTTCCTAAAGGAAGAATTATTCACTAGTGGAAAAAACGCTATTAGCAGCTGGCAAAAAGTGACTTATAGCAACTGGCACATGGGGCTGTTATTGCGGGGGCTGCTAATAGGAATATTATTAGCAATTGACACTTGCCAGCTGCTAATAGTCATTATTTGCAACTGGTGTATTTATTGGCCAGCTGCAAAAAGTCTTTATTTGCAGCTGGCATATAGTTTGGCCCGCTGCTCATAGTAATTAATTGCAACTGGCATATAGTTAGGCCAATTGCGAATAGTATTTATTTAAACTTAAAAAGGTGTTATTCGCAACTGGCCGAGTATTAGGTTTGCTGCTAATAGTATGTATTTGCAGCTGGCATATAATTTGGCCAGTTGCGAATAGTCAATTTTTAAAATAAAAAAAAAATGCAATTTATTTTAGCCAAATTGACGTATGAAATATATCATAGAAGGTACTATATTAACAAATTTTTTGTTAATTTTGCATTATACATTAATTACTAACTTTTTTAAGAAAATACAAGGCTTCTGGGAATGACAGTATTGGATCAGTGTTGTTTTTATTCGTGCTAGAGGTTCTTTCTCCCTTTGCTGAATTGGTAGATTGTGGTTTGTCTTTAACCAAAGATCCTGAAAACAGCTGGTTGCTGCAATTTTGAAAAGAAATTAATAAGCTTCATCAAAAAACTACATAAGACATCACTAGAAAAACAAAAAGGGAGGAAGGGAGGTTTACAGTAACACTTTAAGGCAGCAATAACACATTGATATAGGGTTAATATTCACAACAAATATTAGCCAGCCCCAGCCAGCCAGCCACCAGTTGCCAGGCAGCAGCAGCCAGCCAGCTAGCAGGCCACCAGTTGCCAAGCAGTAGCAGCTGCTAGCTAGGCAGCTGCATTGAGCCAGCTAGCACCGCAACACCCAGCCAACAGCAGCCAGCCTACAGCTACCAGCAGCAGGAGGCAACAGCAGGAAACAACCAGGCAAGAGCAGCCATCCGAGCACACACATGTAAGCTAGAGCAAGTTAACAAACAGCAAGCAGCATCATAGCAGCAACTAGATAGCATAGTCCCTTTATATTTTATATTCAAAAAAGCAATCAATTGTTAAAAAAAAAGACATCTAACCTTAAGAAAGATTTAACTGTATTCTAAAATAACCCAACCATATTGTTTTATACAGAGCTATGATGCTGTGGTTACATGTATTCCAGTACAGATTTCAATTTATATAATTCAAAGTAATAATTCAAGATCATTATGCTTACAAATCTTTCAAGTTTGTGCAAAGATTAATGTTCAAGTATAGTTTGACTTACCTCTCTAATCCTTCTTCCCCCCCCCCCTCGTGCGATAGTTGTACTCCTTAAAGTTCCCCCCAAGATGTCTCCTTGTTGGCTGCCTTCGACCATGGTCACTATTACAACCTATGTTAGTTTAAAGGTCACACATGATTAATGGGCCCAGCATTTGATGATTATCTTAGCATAGTTTTAATACTAAAAATAGATGCTCAAAAAACTTAATGGCTCAGCTCTTAAATAACATATATAGATCATAAGTATGTGTCAATAATATGTGTAAAGAACACTAGTAAGGAGGAACCTACTCTGCCATGAGCCCGTGAAGAGGTAAGTCAAATTATACTTGGTCAGCAACAAGAATCGATCACAGCAAATTATAAGGAAACTTTTTATATTTTCACGGTTGAAATATTACGACCTTGAAATAAATAGCAGCAACTATCTATTATCCTCTTTGTAAGTAGTAAAGTAGCAACAATATCCCCAAACTAACAACAATAGTAGCTACAAGATACAATTCCTTCATTTACATGATTTTATCTAGTAGAAATTTAGTTCCAAAAAACCAGCAAGAAAATATTTAGGAGAGAAGAGCTATTGGTTATGTTCATTTAGCTCGTGGTCAATTCAAAAATGTCATGCTTAGAAATATGACATGCAAATCAAATTATTTTCATTTAATCAAATAGCAACTATTGGTTATGTTCCAAGATCAATAGTAGCTCTTTTGTGGAACTGCACTCACAAGATCAATTGCAAAATTACATACGTGAAATGCAAAAAGTTAACAATTTTAAATATACAACACCAGAATTACAGAACAAAAACATTAAAAATAAGAGAAATAAAAAAAAAATGTCGAATACCTTAGGATTTTGAGGAGCAACACCTCATCGTAAACGACGACACTTCTTATATCAAACTCCAGGTAAATAATTAAGAACTCCATAGTTTCCATTGTAAGAGCTTCGATTTCGAGGTATGAGAAAGATGATTCTTTGAAGCAACAAAGGATTGTAAAGGGGCATTGTCATTTTTGAGCAGCAGCCACCTCGTTTACTCCGCCTTCTCTCTCGCTGAAACCCTAAGTAGCCAAATCAATGGAGAGAGAGTGAATACTACTTTGATGATTAATTGAAGTCTGTCGGTCATTGTCTGCCTAAAGGGCCTTTTTAAGTTATCTCGTCCTCATTACTGTACGAAGTGTCATGCAAAAAAATTTGCATCTGAATCCTTGCATTTCTGTTGTGGTGATGGTGAAATTGAAATTGCTGTTAACTTGCACGTTTATTTACTTCCCAAGAAGAAGATGCTATACATTTTCGAAAGTATGCTAGGTTATATAACAACCTATTTGCTTTTAGTTCTTTGGATGGCAATTTTGATGCAAACACATGTAAGGGTATATATGTCTTCAAGTTACATGGGCAGATGTATCATTTTGTGCCGGATTTGCTCCCTGATAATAATTGTCCGAAATATTTGCAATTATATTTTTATGATGGACAGCATGAGGCTCAAAATAGGCTTGGATGTTTTCCAGAGCTCAGGGAAGATTATAGTTAATATTCTTATGAATGTGTCTCTTCAAAATCCATACGCCAGATATTTTCGTTCTTTGAAGGAAAGAGAGGTGACTGAGAACACACGGATACTTCTTAATCAGAATACTGTATTAGATCAGCGAGTTTACAATGCTCCTTCTGTAGATGATGTTGCTGTGATTTGGCCAGACAGTGGAGCATCTAAAGAGCTTAAGTCCTCACATTTTGGTCTCTGGTAAATCTACTGAATCACATCAAATCTACCATAATTATGGCTGCTATGATCCGCTACAATATCCTCTATTGTTTCCTCGTGGAGAGTGTGGCTGGACTTAAGGACTAAAGAAACGTTCTTCTGGTGGTAGGAGGCAAGTTGCTGTGGAACAAGATCCTGTAATGTCTTGCGCTGTACATACTACTGAAGACTTATTGGAACAAGAAGAATCTCGTACGTAGTTAATTATCTAGGATTATTTTACTAAATGGTTTCTTGTTTTCAGTTGTTTATAATGACAAATTTGATAATCAAATTACTGATTCAGGTTTTTAATATGCAGGGGCAAGTAGAAAACACAGTAAAGCAGACAAACATATTTCTCCAAGAAAATATTATGCCCACAAGTTACAGATTTGTCCTAATAATATGCTATTGCGCGCTGGAAGATGTTTCCAACAATACATAGTTGATATGTATGTGAAGTTTGAATATACAAGATTAGATTACTTCCGTAATAATCAAGAGACCATTAGAGCTGATCTTTATCAGGGAATTCTTGATTCACTTGATTCTAGAGAGAAGATGGGCTGCAATATTGGTCAAAGAGTTATTCTACCTCCAACATTTATTGGAGGGCCTAGAGATATGAAGACACGTTATCTAAATGCAATGGCTTTGGTGCAGAAATATGGGAAACCTGATTTTTTTGTTACTATTACATGTAATGCAAACTGGCCAGAGATTAAAGCTGAGCTAGCTCCTGGAGAAATAGCTCAAGATCGGCCTGATTTAGTAGTAAGAATATTTAGATCAAGATTACTTTTGTTGAAAAAGGAAATCATAGAGAAAAAACTATTGGGGGAGGTAGCTGCGATGATATGTGGTTGAGTTCCAGAAAAGAGGGCTAGCACATGCTCATTTTTTAATCATTTTGAAAGAAGATTTTAAAATGAAATGTCCTTCTGACTGTGATAGGTTTGTGTGTGCTGAGATTCTTCATACAAGCAATGGAAACCTTTAGGAAAATTGTGTTTGCACATATGATGGACGTTCCTTTTGGTCAGTTGAATCCTCAATGCTCATGTATGCGTAAAGAAGGGCATAAAGAAGTCTGTAAGAATAAGTATCCAAAGCAATTTTCAGCTGAGACAACTAACAATAAAGATGGCTATCCAGTGTATCGAAGACAGGAAACAGGAGAAAAAGTGATGATAAGGAATACTCAGCTAGATAATCGATGGGTCATTCCTTATAATCCTTATCTCTCGATCTTATTTGACTGCCATCTCAATATTGAAGTTTGCTCAACTATTAAAGCTGTGAAGTATCTCTACAAATATGTATATAAGGGTCATGATAAGATGTCTTACAATATAGTTTCTACAGATGGCAGTCCTGTAGATGAGATCGAACGATATCAATCAGGAAGGTGGGTATCACCGTGTGAAGCTGCATGGAGAATCTTTGGATTTGACTTATTTCAAATGTATCCACCTGTTCTTCCTTTACAGGTACATTTACCTAACATGCAGACAGTTCATCTTTGACCGCATGAACAATTGCATTCTATTGTCTTTAATTCTAAGCGGTCACGAACTCCTTTGACTGAGTTCCTTGCGATTAATGCTTCTGTACAAGGTGGAACAGGATATTTATATGGTGAGTTTAGTGAACATTATTGTTGGGACAAAAGCAGCAAAGAATGGATAGAGAGAAGTAATACTCGGTTTTCTGTAGGGCGTTTGGCGTTTGTTTATATAGCAGAAGGGGAGCGATTTTTCCTTCGACTTCTACTACTAAATGTCAGAAGTCCTTAATCATTTGAGCACCTTCTTTGTTCGTGCAACTTTTCATGAAGCAGCTCTGAAACTAGGATTCCTAGAAGATGATGATGTAGCAAATTCAGCTTTAGCTGAAGCATGTGAAGTTCAATTGCCTGCTGCTCTACGACGATTATTTGCAACAGTCTTAATCTTCTGTCAAGCATCTGATCCTTCTGCCTTATGGCTAAAATATTTTCCTCTTTTTAGCCGAGGACTTCGCTAAAAAATATCCAGAGAATTCACAAAAAGTGCAGCAGCTAACTGTTAGAGGAGTTGAGCAACATCTTGAAGCCATGGGAAAATCTCTGTCTGCATTTGGCTTGGACCATCTATATAGTGAAACTGATGATGAGTTTAGAAGAAAAAAGGATATTATAGATGCTCTTGATGCTCCTATTCCTGAAGAGTGTCTTAATTGTCGACCAAGATTAAATGCTGCATTTACATGTATAATGCAGCATATTTTGGAAGGAAAATCAGGTGCTTTCTTTATCGATGGCCCCGGAGGACCAGGCAAAACATTTTTGTATAATACCTTATACGCAGAAGTTCGGCTCATGAACAAAATTGTTTTACCTACAGCTGCATCGGGATTTGCTGCGGCAAATATTCCATCTGGTCGAACAGCTCACTCAAGGTTTAAAATCCCAATTGACAACGAAGGTTCTTTAGCATGTGATGTTCCCAAACAAAGTAGCCTTGCAGCACTTACAAGAAAGGCAACATTAATAATATGGGATGAAGCGTCAATGGCAAAAAAACAAAATCTTGAATCTTTGGACTTATTGTTGCAAGATGTATGTGAGAATAAGACCATGTTTGGTGGGAAAATAGTAGTGTTTGGTGGTGATTTCAGGCAGTTATTGCCTTTTGTTCCTCAGAAAACAATGAAAGAAGCTGTTGAAACAAGCATTGTTACATCGTATCTTTGGCAAGACTTCATAAAATTTAAATTGACAGTAAACATCAGAGCTCAGGAAGATCAAACATGTTCTGCATTCTTGCTTGCTTTAGGTAATGGTGAATTACAGACAGCTGAAAGTGGTTACATTCAGTTACCTAGACAAGTCGCACATTTCATTGAAAGTGACACAGATTTGATAAATGATCTTACACAAACAACGTTCCCTGAAATTAATCAAGGCAGCTTTGGCTCTGATGTATTTACAAAGGGGGCTATTCTGACTCCATTGAATGATGAAGTAGATGTAATCAATGCATATATGATTGAGAAGTTTCCAGGGGAGAGCATCATCTACAAAAGCTTTGATATCATGTTAAACGATACATGTAATGTATATCCAACAGAGTTCATAAATAAGCTATGCCCTGGAGGAATGAGCCCTCATGAGCTGGTGCTTAAACCAGACTGTCCAGTTATACTGCTAAGAAATTTGCTTCCTTCATCTGGTTTGTGTAATGGCACTTGTCTTATATGCAAGGGCTTTTTTTCCGAATGTTATCGGGTGTGTTATTGCTGTTGGCCATTATAAAGGAGTAGAAGTGTTTATACCCAGGATTAATTTGAGGCCTTCTAATTCTGTTAATTATCAGTTCCAATTTCATAGAAAACAATTTCCTCTTAAGTTAAGTTTCGCAATGACAATAAATAAGTCTCAAGGGCAGACTCTCGATCATGTGTCCATTCATCTTCCTCGCCCATGTTTCTCCCAGTCAGCTATATGTTGCCTTATCATGTGCAAAGAAAGCAGCTGATGTTTCTGTATTTTCAACACGAGCTCCAGAGAATTTCCCTAAAAAGGCTATAAAAAAAAAAGTTTCTTACGAAGTTCTAAGGCTAGCTGGTATTGTTTAGCCCGATGCTCCAGGGTAAATGTAGATAGCTAAAAGTTGGTGTTCAATCAACAACAAATGTTTGGTTTCAACGAACGATTCACATAATAAGGTAATTTTTCTTTTTCCTTGTATGTTTAATATAGTTGTATTTAGCTAATAAGGTAATTTTTCTTTTTCCTTGCATGTTTTTTATTTTTTTTTATTTATTATTTTTTTTTTTTAACTATACATGATTTGTAAGGTACTACTGTACTAATTAAATTGGTTGCTTTTTTTTTTTTTGAATCTTTTCTGATTTTTTATTTTATTTATTTAATTCTTAATATTATGGGATTGATTTGGTTGTATATTTGATGTTGTTAGTAAATGAGACTTTTGGTGTTCAACAATTAGTGAAGAAATCAGTGAATAAACTTGAATGTACTAGAGTTAGTAGGAGTAGTTGAAATGCCAAAAGTTGTGACTCTTCATTGCATCACAATAATGTAGAAGGCATCCCTCACCCCTATATAAAGTACTCTTGTACATATCAAAATAATATAAGAAATCTTCTTACTTTCTTTCTACATACACTGTCCAGCTTTGCTCTAACAACTTGTATCAAGAGCCTTATGATCTTAAGGGCCACAAAAAAAAAAAAAAAAAAAAAAAAAAAAAAAAAAAAAACAGAAGATAGGAAGAAGAAACTGAGCTGTTGAAGTATGGCTTCAACGTAAACCTCTTCCACAACTTCTCTGCCAGCACCTCCTACTTTCACAGGAGAGAATTATGATTATTGGTGTATAAAAATGAGGCTTTTTCTAAAAGCAAGTGCTTTGTGGGAGATAGTGGAAATTGGTTTTGTACGAAAACAAGGAGTGTCGTACACAGAAGCACAATTAAAGAAGATAAGTGATGATGAGATGAAGGATGCTAGAGCCTTATCTCATATCATCAATTGTGTTTCTGACACAATCTTCCCCAAGATCATGAGAGCCTCATCAACAAAAGAAGCTTGGAGTCTTCTTGAGGAGGAGTTTCATGGCGATGAAAAAATCAGAAATACTCGACTCAATACTTTGAGGAGTCAATATGATAATATGAAGATGAAGGAGAATGAGGAATATAAAAGGTTACACTTCTAGATTCATGGAAGTTGTAAACCAAATGAAGATTTAAGAGATCTCAGATGCAAAAATAGTGCAAAAGATCAACACAATGTCCATAATAATTGTTGATTCTTTGGACGTCACAAAACTCAGTGTGACGGAGCTAATGGGTTCGTTGCTTGCCCATGAGCATAAATTTGCAAAGGATGACCTAGGGAAATCCCCACCCTCGGAGATTGCTTTTTTGTCAAAGTCTCATAAAAAATTTACATTCAACAAAGGCAATAACCTGAAGAATAAAGGGGCCCCACGATCTAACAGAAAAGACAAGGAGCCGCCACAGTCCAAAGGGAAATTCCCTCCATGCGGTATATGCAATAAGACAAATCATCTTGAAAAAGATCCCTATCATAAGGGGAAACCGAAGTGCAGCCATTGCAAAAAACTAGGCCATTTGGAGAAGGATTGTTGGCACAAACAGAAGCAACAATCGTCAAACCCAAATGCTCGTAAGACTATTTGTTTTATGCACGTCAAGTGATGAGCGCTTGTACCAGCAAGGAAAGATGGTTGATTGATAGTGGGTGCACATCCCACATGACAAACAATTCAAGCTTATTTTGCAAGCTTGACTCTTCCATCAAAGTTCCAGTTCGTATATGGTGTTGTTGTACTCCTTTTTCCAGATTTGAATGAGAGTTTGCTTAGTGTTGCTCAGATGGTCAACAATGGTTATTCACTTGTATTTGAGAATAACTATTTCACCATCATTGACTAGAATAAGAAAGAGATTGTAAAAGTCCCGATGGAAAACAAAAGCTTTTTATTGAAGTGGGATTATCCGGTAGAGAATGTGAATGCAGAAAAACTCAAGCGACACATGGCTATGGCATAGGAGGTATGGACACTTTAATATGCGTGCTCTCAATGAACTTCACAAGAAATATCTAGTGAGAGATTTTCCTGCAATTTGTGTATCTAATGATCTTTGTCTTGTCAATTTGGCAAGCAACATAAGCTGCCTTTCCCGAAGGAGAATGTGTGGAGAGCATCAGAAAAATTGCAGCTTGTTCACACTGATGTTTGTGGACCTCATCGAACTTTATCTCTTGGTGAAAACAAGTATTTCATCCTTTTTATCGATGATTTCAACCGCATGACGTAGGTGTATTTCTTGAGAGAAAAATGTGAAATTTTCAGTGTTTTCAAAAAACTTAAAGCACTGGCAGAAGCTAGTGGTTGTAAACTACAAAAAAAACAGATCAGATCGAGGCAAGGAATATACTTCCTTTGAATTTGATATTTTCTGTGAAGATGAGGGAATTGAACATACAGTAGGTTATACACCTCAGCAAAATGGAGTTTCTGAACGAAAGAATAGAACCGTGATGGAGATGGCTCGCTGTATGTTAAGTGAGAAAAATCTGCCAAAAAAATTCTGGGCAGAACCAGTTCGCACATCTGTTTATTTGCTAAACAGGCTGCTCACAAAAGCGGTTCAAGGCAAAACTCCAATTGAAGCATGGAGTGGAAGAAAGCCAATAGCAAAACACTTAAGAGTATTTGGATCAGTTTGCTATGCTCATATTCCATCTCAAAAGAGAAGCAAACTAGATGCAAAAGCCGAAAGAGGAATCTTCCTTGGCTATGATTCACAAGCCAAAGGATATCGACTTTTCAATCTTATCAATAAAAAGATCATGATAGTCGAGATGTTGAATTCGATGAAGATGCAAGTTGGAATTGGGAAGAAGAGAAGGTTGAGAAGAAATATTTTCAAGTTGATAGCGAAGTGCATGATGAACCTAGAGATGAGAATATCGAAGAAGCGCCTTCCACTCCTATATAAGCTGGAAATGGCACTGGCGAAACTAGTGATGATGATAATGCCACGGGTCCTAGAGGTAAGAAGTCTCTCTCGGATTTGTACGAGGAATGTCCAGTCTTTCACCTAGATCCGAAGGAATGTGAAAGATGTTAAGTGTTGAAGAGCCCCAAACATATGAGCAGGCTTTTGAAGACAAAAGGTGGCAGCAAGCAATGGAAAATGAAATCAATATGATCAAGAAAAATCAGACTTGGGAGTTGGTTGATAGACCAAGTGATCGCAAAGTGATTGGCGTCAAGTGGGTCTACAAAATCAAATTGAATCCTTATGGGACCATAAGCAAGTTCAAGGCTAGGTTGGTCGTCAAAGGATACTCCCAACAAGCAGGAATTGATTATGGAGATACATTTGCTCCGGTGGCTAGGCTTGGCACAGTTAAAACTCTGATTGCTTTAGCAGCTCAAAGAGACATGGAAGATTTATCAACTTGATGTCAAGTTTGCCTTTCTCAATGGTGAACTCGAGGAGGAAATTTACATTGAGCAACCTCTCGGATTTGCTATTAAAGGGCAAGAAGAAAAAGTGTGCAAGCTGAAAAAGGCTCTATATGGGCTAAAACAAGCGCCACGAGCATGGTACAGCAAGATTGACTCATATCTACTTGCACAAGGGTTCAACAAAAGTAAAAATGAGCATTCTCTATGTTTAGAATCAAGGAGAAAATGATTTGCTCATTGTTTCACTCTATGTTGATGATCTTCTTGTGACGGGAAACAATTCAAAGATGATCCTCTCGTTCAAGGAGGAGATGAAAAGGAAGTTCGAAATGACAGACTTAGGCTTAATGAATTATTTCCTAGGGATGGAAGTTCATCAAGCTGAAGATGGAATCTTCATCTCTCAAAGGAAATATGCAAATGATGTTCTTAAGAAATTCCATATGCAAAACTGCAAGCCAGTCAGTACACCTCTTGTAGTGAATGAGAAGCTGTCCAGAGATGATGGTCAAAGGCAAGCTGACACTAGGCAGTACATGAGCTTAGTTGGAAGTCTACTTTACCTAACAGCCGCAAGGCTGATGTTCGCAGCAAGTTTGCTTTCAAGGTTCATGAGTGAACCAAGTGATGTTCATATGGGTGCTGCCAGAAGAGTGCTCAGGTATATAAGAGGAACTTCAGATTTTGGTGTTATGTTTAATGCAAGTGAAAACTCCAAATTGTTGGCATATTCAGACAGTGACTGGGGTGGTTCAAACGATGACATGAAAAGTACTCTGGGATATGTTTTTTCACTTGGATCTGGAGTGTTTTCATGGATTTCGAAGAAGCAAGAAGTAGTAGCTCAATCCACAGCTGAAGCCGAGTACATTGCAGCATCGGCAACTGTTAATCAAGCTGTGTGGCTCAGGAAAATACTGACTTAAGACACAAACAGGAAGAAGCTACTGAAGTTCTAGTAGACAACAAATCAGCAATTGCTATTTTAAAAAATCCAGTTTGTTTCAGCAAGACTAAGCACATGAGGATTAAGTATTATGCACTTAGAGAAGCTGAGCAAGAGAAAGAAGTGAAGCTGATTCATTGTCCTACTGAGTTCCAGCTCGCTGACATTTTGACCAAGGCTTTACCAAAAAGCAGATTTGAGTTTCTCAGACTCAAGCTTGGTATGATGGCGAAAAGTCTCAAGGAGGAGTGTTAGTAAATGAGACTTTTAGTGTTCAGCAATTAGTGAAGAAATCAGTGAATAAACTTGAATGTACTAGAGTTATTAGGAGTAGTTGAAATGCCAAAAGTTGTGACTCTTCATTGCATTACAATAATGTAGAAGGCATCCCTCACCCCTATATAAAGTACTCTTGTACATATCAAAATAATATAAGAAATCTTCCTACTTTCTTTCTACATACACTGTCCACCTTTGCTCTAACAGATGTGAAATCAGGTAGAGTAATGGGCAGAGGTGCATTGAGTTATGTATTTAGAGGTAGAGTTGGGTTTTTGAGAACAGCAGTGGCAGTAAAGAGGTTAGATAAAGAAGATAAGGAGAATACCAAGGCTTTTTGTAGAGAGTTGATGATTGTAAGTTCTCTTGAACGTCCAAACGTTGTTCCTCTTTTGGGATTTTGTATTGATCCAGAGGAAGGCCTGTTCTTGGTTTACAAATATGTGTCCAGTGGAAGCCTAGAGCGACATTTGCACGGTATAGCTAGCGTGATTCTTTGTTGTTTTATGAGATTTTTCATTGGTGTTGTGTAAATTTTGGATGGAAATTTAAATATGAGATGTTATTTGCAGGTAAGAAGAAGAGTGGGAAGGGTTTCGCGTCGCTTTCATGGTCTGCAAGGTATAAGGTTGCTGTAGGAATTGCAGAAGCTATTGCATATCTACATAATGGAACTGAAAAATGTATTGTTCATAGAGATATAAATCCCTCCAATATTTTTCTATCTTCCAAGAAAAGGCCAAAGGTGAATCCTGGTTTCTTTCTGGATTTAATGTTATGTTTTGATTGATTGTAATATATGATAAGATGTCTAAACTGAATTTATGAATTTTGTAGCTATGTGATTTCGGATTAGCAACATGGACTGCAGCACCATCAGTCCCTTTCCTTTGCAAAACTGTGAAAGGAACATTTAAGTATGAATTTACAAATAATTCAACTATTATTGTTTGTCAGTTTTGAAAAAAAAATATATTGGTTTTTCATCTGCTTTCTGTGCAGCAATTGTACTTTGTTCTTTACTCAGCGAATTCTGATTTTTTACAGATATTTGGCTCCTGAGTACTTCCAACACGGGAAGGTAACCGATAAAACTGATGTTTATGCCTTTGGAGTTGTCCTTTTAGAGTTTATAACAGGCCGAAAACCAATAGAATCATCAAGGCCATCCGGAGAAGAGAACCTGGTTCAATGGGTATGTGACATTACCTTGCCAATACTGTTATGTGATAGACAAGAAAGAGCACTTAATGTGAGATTTCCATGTCCAGGACAAATGATAGTTCCAATTGCTGAACTACAGAACAAAAAGGTAGCGGATAGATAATATCACTTACAAGATGAATTACCTTGCCAATACTGTTATTTCAAAACTATGCTTTTATTATTACTCTTATTAATCTATATGCTTAATGTACCCTTTTAATACCATGCAAGATGATCGGTGTTGGATTGAAGTTACAATTCAAGACCCTCAGCTATTTAGTATCAAACTGCTCATTGTTGAGTATTGAGTTTGATGGGAAATTCCTGTGTTTGAGAATACATATGAGACTGTTATTTACTTTCTCTGTTAATGCCCTTGCCATACTACCAATCGACACGTTTTCCAGCTTGAACAACTGTTTAAAATTCTTAAATGAGTTGGATTGTTCTCATTTTTCTAGGGGAGTGGTTTGTGAGGGGAAGGGATTTGATGGCACTTGCAGGTTTTGGATGTGCAAGACTTACACTAAATAGGGTCTGTTCAAAGTAACAAGGAAAAACTAAAGGGAGGTTGGACCTTGAAAAACTTGACAGTCTTAGGTGCAATCATGTAGATTCCTAATAACTTTGTGATTATTATCCTGTTCATAGATTATGACATTTGAAGCTTAGATTGAAAACTTTCAACCAATTTCTTTTTCAGATGTGCATTTTCTTTGTGAGCTTCTACGTCTACAATGTTTCCTCATTTTTTAGTAAAAAAGTAACATTTTTCCCGGTCCATGGGGGTTTCTGATTTATTATAGATATATGCCCCAATTCTGTAGTCTTTAATTTGATCTCATGCTTTAATATATAGCTTTTTTTCTTTTTTTCTTTTTTTTTTTTTTTTTTTTTTTTGATGAACTTTAATATATAGATCTTATTATAGAGATAAACTGTAGAATTGTATGCTCTTGTTATTTTACATTAGATCAAGGGATCCCTGAATATTATTTGCAAACTATTTTATTTTAAGGATTTAAAACTGAGATCCTTGCCTATATACCTGTAATCATCCAAAATTCTTAATTTAGGCCATAGAGGAACTTATGTTTGTCATTTATCATTTGAGCAGGGTTTTTGAAGTTATAGCTATGCCTATTATTAGAGGAAATGCCTCATATCTTGAGTGGCTCAAGAACAGTACAGGGGACTTAACCTCAACGTAAGGCAAGAACTGTAATTCTGATGGATACAAGGTGTTGCTGTTGTTTAGTGCAGTGCTCATTGTCAATGTAATAAGTGGGCAAATACATTAGTCATTTAGGCTCTGGCCATTTGCATGTTCTTGTCTCATACATTTCTTTGTTAGCCTAGACTACTAAATATGTCTGATCATTTCATTTCAGGTTAAATATTGGAAATTTGGTCTTGCGATGGTTACTCTTGCTTCTAAATCAGCTAGATACATCTCTCTCTTAGCATATGTTAAAATCTCTTTCATTTAAAAATTAAGATAAAATAAGGCCTTTAGTATTAGCACCTGAATCATTTTCCAAAGACATTATTACGTAGATTGTGATCCATGCCTTCCTGAAATATGTTGAATTGATTAGCATGCCTAAGGTAACCTACGATTAGGGCAATCGATCTTTCATAGTTTTGTAGAAATAATTTAATTAATCTGATTCACATACACCGAACGGCTATACAATTTGAAAAATCTTACCGAAACAATCCACAAAAACACAACTACAAATTAAGGTGTACAAAATTGAGGGTACGCGCACGCACCCACAACTAGTAAAATAGAAAATAAGGTACAGAGTAATAGTTTTTAGCAGCTGGCGCTTTAAGGCCGGCTATAATTATTTTGGTCAATTTTTTGTTGACCAGGTATTTTTAGCGGGCATTAAATAAGTCATCTACTAATAAACTTTCTACTTTTTACTTGACATTTATTAGCAGCGTGCATTTTTGTGCCAGCTGTGAATGCCACGGTATTTGCAATTGGCATTAGATAGGCCAGCTGCTAATATCAGTTTTAACTTTTACCCACCAATTATTAGCAACGTTCATATTTAAGTTAGTTGCTAATGATATAGTATTTGTAACTTACAATATTTTAGCTAGTTGCAATTAGTGTTTTAGTAACTAGCGTATTTAACGCCAATTGCTAATAGGGTGCTGCTAGGCCAAAGCAAGGCATCATCATTTTCTTAGGGATGTAAAGTATGCACTATGCCAAAGTATGGCATCACATATACATCAGTAAGGAGTCCTTAGATGTTGTAGCAAACGGGATAAGCGTCAAAAAGGCATTAGATGCGACGACTTATCAACCAAGATTAGTTTGGAACTATTAGCAATTGGATTTCTTACCTTGAAATAATAAGTGTTAAGACAAGCCCAAGCATGCTTAATCACTTATTGATTTTGGGATCTTGGAATCATTTTATTCAAGCGTATGAGACAAATTTAAATTGAATAAAGCGTTAATAAGTTGATTGAAATTGCTAGTTTGCATGTATTTCAAAGCTTATTATGTTATCTTGATAAATAATTATACTTTGCACTTATATTTGTAGAATTCTAAATCGAATTATAATGTTTCCTACGATTGATAAAAGGAAATATTTTGAGAATGGTTCTCAAAGAAAGAAAAGGCATTTCTAAAATACAACTTCCCATATATGACTTTCATGGCTAAGTCCGAAAGGACGGTTGGATATCATGAATTCTAAATACTATGTAGTTTTGATAAAATGAAGTATTGAGTTGAAAACTCAATTTGTCAATAATTGACAACCAACATATCTTTTCGCTTTATACATTAATGAGTAGGACTCATTGATGTAGTAATTCAAGTACGAATTAAAGGAAAAGAGCTTAGCAACTTGTCTTCACAAGTATTGGATACTACTTGTGTGATTCACCTTTGGAATGACCTCAAAAACCATTGAAGTTAAACTATGTTATTGACTTACGAGCTTGGAATAAAGAAAGTAGTTCTACATTAGTTGTAAGGTCATTAACCTTGTTTAAAGACCTTTTAAAGCTAAGGTAGGAACAAATAATGGTTATTGTGTTCCATAATTAGCAAACATTCTGTTTACACACAGAAAGAGTCACATTCAAAGTAAAAGAACAATAGTTGTTGGCTTTATTTGAATGGCATAGTCGTTTAAGCCATGAGTCAAGGATGCTTGATTATAAACAAACAATTCCGTAACATAAAATAACAAGGTTCAAGTCATGGACATGATTTGTGTTCGGAGTATATTTAGCAATGTCACATCGACAAGAACGTATTCAAGGCTTTATTAGATACATTCTTGAAAGTTGATCGATTCAGAACCGTTCTAAGAAAAGCAATTCATACTTGTTGAAATCGACAAAGAAAGGAACTAGTGTCCTTGGTATAGACAATTGAGTCCAAAAGCTAAAGAGGATTCCATTACTTCAACGATTTCACAAGAATTTAAAAGAATATGGCTATATTCATCAAATGTGCACAAACGTTTAGTGAAGTATAGCATCGACTTGGCAAGATATCAAAACGTCTAGATTAGATCGAGTGATGTTTGCTTGAGCCAAGAGTGATCATCTCAAGGTTATGAAATTGGAATTTCATAATCAGTTCCACAAAGAATATAGTATGTCTTGACGGAGACCTCAAAGCCATTAGAAAATGACTCGAACGATGATCACATCCCTTCCTACAAAGTTCTTAATGATATGCACCAATAACTAATATTACACGAAACAAAATTGTCAAAACTAAGAAAAGACACCATATTCAGTTATTAATAGAAATAGTTTCTAGTGCCTTTTCAAGTATATGTCTAGGGCTCTTAGCCTTAGTGGGAGCTAATTGGCTCAGCGGGAGCTAAGTGGCTCAATAAAAGGCTAAGATAGCCCAAGTTGGAGCTAATAGTTTGTTTTGCAATGAACCTTTACCCAAAGACGATATAAATGTCTCTTTGTAAGTATTCAAGTGAGACTATGGGCATTAATTCCACAACCATATTAAGAACATAGTACTTGTTGCTCTAAGTGGTGTCTTTCTGGAAAAGCAACACATTTCCAAAACGATAAGTGGAGGAAAATAAATTCGATGACCATCGAGACGAGCAACAAACGAAAACTGAATCTCAAAAGACTAAGGGCTTCATAAGAATGATTCATCAAGAATACTCAAAGGACTTTAGAAGTGCCTTAAGAGAATTCATTACTCACAAAACTTTAGAAGTGTTGGAGTAAGATCAAAATAATCAAAGGGCTTTAGAAGCGCCTTGAAAATCAGTTTTGATGCAATTAACCCATATAGGAATAGAATTCGCCAAAGGCTTGGATTGAATCCTATAAAGTTAAGAAAAGAAATAAAGTCTAAGCTAAGACAAGAAATAAAGCACTAAAGGGAAATTGTTTAGGCATAGAATTCACTCAAACATAAACAAGGCATGGAAATTGAATTGAAATATGAACTAAGCAACTCATGTCAATGATTTAAAGCACAATCTACCCACCTATCGGGGCTAATTGATTTCTCAACTCAAGCGCAATTTACATTATCGTCATAAGACACACTAATCGAGGTACAAATCAAGCAAATCATTCAATGGACATTCCTATATCACGCTATCGCCATAATCTAATTCAATCCACCCAACTACAACAATTGATAGGCCTCTATGAAATAATTGGTAAGACATGGAAAACAAAGCATTTTAATCACAAACAAATCAATTCCAAACCCTAAAACATGCTTAAGATCCAACTACACCACCACCATCCCCTTAGTACGGGAACTACTCACTAATCATGCTAATAACAAGATTAATCAACAAATTAACAAGCAATACCAAAGCAATAAACAAAAACAATAAATAAGAGGAGAGAGAGTGAGAAATGCTCATTGATTAAAAGTAAAAATCTCCAAATCTTCTTATCACATAGAAAAACCTTCAAATCTACAATCTTTCTTTGATTTTCATCACTTTCTCTCTCTAAAACCCTAACTATGGAGGCTAATCCTCCTTAAACCCTACACTAAGAAAGATAGCTAAAATATCTAATTAAGAGAGTGTTAAACTAATAAAATGGGTATTTATACTAAACTAATAAAAGAAATAAAAA